AGAAACGCCCTGTGGTCCGAGCTGCCAGGGCTCCAAATTGCCACCTTTGGGCAGACATTTTCACTTAAAATGAGCTCAGCCTGTCCCAGAGCAGGGTCTGTCTTGGGGCGGAGAAGCTAGGAGAGAGGTGGCTGGGGATGCGCTGGTTGAGATGGGGGAGGCTGAGCCTGGAGGACACGTGGCACCCACAAAGTTGGGAAACCAGTGAGCAGCGCTGTGGAGATGTCACATCCTGGGGACACGAGTCCCTGGAGGACATTGAGGAGTGAGGTGCCATCACACCCTGGGGGTGGTGCTTCAGGGATACCCCATCCTGGGGACATGGCTCCCTGGAGGACACGTGGCCATGGCACCTACGGTGCCATCATGACCCAACGGGCAGTCCCACAGGGATGCCCCATTGTGGGGACACAGTTCTCTGAAGGGCATGAAATACCCATGGTGCCATCACGCTAGCAGACACATCACTGGAGGGCAGTGGGGACGTGTCTCCCTGGAGGACACATGGCCACAGCACCCACAATACCATCACAAACCAAAGGGCAATGCCATGGGGATGCCCCATCCTGGGGACAAGGACACATGGTCTCCTGGCAGCCCCACCTCTTGCAGCCTCCCTGAGCCCCACATTTGGGTCTGCAGTGGCAAGGAATCAGGAGACAGCCCCGTGTTCCTCTGTCTCCACAGTCGACATTCGGGAGATCAAGGAGATCCGCCTGGGGAAGAGCTCACGGGACTTCGAGCGCTACCCCGAGGATGCTCGCAAGCTCGACTTCACCATGTGCTTCATCATCCTCTACGGGATGGACTTCAGGCTGCGGACGCTCAGCGTGGCTGGTGCGTGGGCTCCCTCCCAGCTTCCCCCTGGCCACCTTTGGGCTCTCACCCCATCCCCAGCATCCCATTTCCCCCAGCCTGGCCTCATCACCTTCCTCTTCCTCCTCCAGCTTTCTGCGAGGAGGACATCAACCTGTGGATAACAGGCCTCAACTGGCTGGTGGTGGACACCCAGAAAGCCCAGACCCCACTGCAGATTGAGAGGTGAGGAAGGACCAGTAGGTCCCATTTCCCAGTCCCCATGGAGGGATCTGAGGGACAAAACCCCTCTGGGTTTGGTCTCCTCTGGGGCTGAGCACCATCTGCCCGTCCCTTCCTTCCCAGGTGGCTGCGAAAACAGTTTGACGGGATGGATCGGTCGCGGGAAGGCAGGTGAGAACCACCAGGGCTTTGTGCCAGTGGGTTCAGCTGGACAGGGCCATATCCTCTGAGTTGCACCCCAAATCTGGAGGCTGAGCCAGGCTGGGAGTGAGGTTTGTGGGGCAAGACAGTACCAGGTTATTTGGGGTTCTTGAAGGCACCAAAAGTGGGAGGTTTGAGCTCAAATTCCCTCCTTGCCACTGTAGGGACCATGGGGGCTCTGATGCCTCCGCGTCCACTGCTGCATTTCCACCAGTACCAGGAGGGGTTGGACCGTGAATGCAGCCCATAAACATCTCCCGAAGTCAGGAAAAAACCCAAATCAAATGAATTCTGACTTAAAAGATTATGGGGATGGGCATTACCTCCAGATGGGATGATGGCTTAGAGTGCCTGATTGGTTCTTGGATGTGCTCCCTCTCCTCAACGCTCTGCTCACACTCCTGCCAGACCCTGTGTAATTAGGGGTCCTGTGCCATTGTGGGGATCCACAACCCACTATGGTGGGAACCCCATGCCAGAGACCAAGCTGAGGATTTGGGCTGGGACCCTCAGTGTCAGAAGCTGAGACCCATCTGGGGGTTGTCCATCCTCTACGGGGTCCGGCTGGTGCCCTGACGATGGCTCAACCTCCCACAGCATCACAGTGAAGGATCTGAAGGCCATGCTGCCCCAGGTGAACTACCGTGTCCCAAACATGAGGTTCCTGCGGGACAAGCTCGTGGTAAGGACCCCCCAGACACCCCAACTATGCAGGCAAGAGGGGCTTCAAGCCCCCACAGCCAGGCTGGAGTTGATCCCAGTGTCACTGGCTCTATTCGGGTGGCCCTGCTCTCATGCATCACCTTCTCTGGCAGGAGGTGGAAGCCAGGAATGAGATGACTTTCTCCCACTTCATCCAGTTCTACAAAAACCTGATGTTTGATGCACAGAAGTCGGTAAGAGCCAATGCTTGTCCTCCCAAGCATACCTCACCCCGGTGCAATGTGTCCCCAACCAGCTAAGCCCGGTCCCCTCCTTTGCCTTGCAGGTCATCGAGCAGCTGGAGCTCTCCTTCCCCTTGCGGTGAGTCCTCGGGAGCCCAGCAGCTCCCATCCCAACCAAGCCTCCAAGGGTTGGCTCCATTGGGTCGGCAATGCAGCTGGGCTGTGAGGCAGAGCTGAGGGAGAGACGAGGGTCCAGGCTTGAGGTGGACGGGATGGTGGGGATGGCAAGGGTGGTCTGAGGGTCAGGGATGGCAGAAGGAACAGGACTAGGGATGGGAGAAGGGATGAGCAGGGATGGGAGAGGGGATGGGAGCAGAGATGGCAGTAGGAATGGGTGCAGGGATGGGAGATGGAATGACAAATATTGTATAGTGTGACCAGCAGGAGCGGGGCAGGGATCCTTCCCCTGTACTTGGCACTGGTGTGGCTGCACCACAGTACTCAAGTACTGTGTTCAGTTTTGGGCCCCTCACTCCCAGAAGGACATTGAGGGGCTGGAGAAGGGCAACGGAGCTGGGAATGGGTCTGGAGCACCCGAATGATGGGGAGCAGCTGAGGGAACTGGGGTTGCTTAGTTTGGGGAAAAGGAAACTGAGGGGAGACCTTATCACCTTCTACAACTACCTGAAAGGAGGGGGTGGAGAGGTGGGGTTTGGTCTCTGCTGCCACGTAACCAGTGACAGGACAAGAGGAAATGGCTTCAAGTTGTGCCAGGGGAGGGTTAGTTTGGATATGTGGAAAAATCTCTTTACTGAAAGAGTGGTCGAACACTGAAAGGGGCTGCCCAGGGCAGTGATGGAGTCCCCATCACTGGAGGGGTTCAAGAAGCCCATGGATGTGGCACTTGAGGACATGGTTTAGTGGCCATGGTGGTGTTGGGTTGACGGTTGGACTTGATCTTAGAGGTCTCCTCCCTGTGTCCACTGGCAATGTTGCCCACTCTGGCCGTGTGCCCGCCTCTTCCAGCTCACAGGGTGACACTGGGAGCGTTTGCTCTTGCAGCACCCAACAGCTCGAGGTGCCCCTTGCACCCACATGGCCTGCGCTTTCCATGAATCCCATGCCAGCTGCCAACAGTGAGGCAGGAATGGGGGACATCAAGGGGCCAAGCTGCAGGTGGCTTCAACTCCCGCAATGGGGTCTACTCCAACTCCTGCTCCTGGTCCTTGCTGATGGCTGCTCCATGTTCCAGGAACGTGGACCGACCCGAGCTGTGCCAAGTCTCCCTCTACGACTTCCAGAAGTTCCTGCTGCATGACCAGAAGGTGGGTCCCCTTAGAGACCCTTGTGGCATCCCTCTTATCCCCAACCTCAAGGGCCCCCATGGGCTGTCCCAGCCCGGTTCACCCCATAACAGTGGCTGTGTTTGCACCCCAGGAACCCTGGGCCAGCGACGTGGGCATGGTGCGGGACTACATGTGCACCTACCTCAAGGAGGGCTCCAGTGAGGCAGCGGACCCCTCCTTCCAGCTGGATGAGGTGGGTACCCCATGTGTCACTCACCCAGAGGTGTGTCCCCAGCCCTGACAGGCTCTGACCTCTCTGCTTCCCCCCTAGTTCCTCACGTACCTCTTCTCCAAGGAGAACATGGTGATGGACGCCAAGTATGAGCGCGTGGTGCCCGAGGAGATGAACCATCCCCTGTCCCAGTACTGGATCTCCTCCTCCCACAACACGTAAGAACAGAGTGGACTCTCCTCAGGAACCCACCTTGAGCATTCCATCACCCCAGCCGGGGCAGCCCTGGCCACTGATGATCCTTTTTGTTCTCCACAGGTACCTGACAGGGGACCAGTTCTCCAGTGAGTCCTCCCTGGAGGCGTACGCCCGCTGCCTGCGCATGGGCTGCCGCTGCATCGAGTGTGAGTCCCTGCAGCACCTTGTGGTGATGCTCAGTTCCTCCTGACACCCTGTGATCCATCAGACAGACATGGGGGGGTCTTCCATGTCCTTTGGGGACCCAAAAACATGGTCCCCAGTGTGCAGTCAGTGACTGACATGCTTTAACTGAGGTGTCTCCCTGCTCAGTGGACTGCTGGGATGGCCCAGACGATCTCCCCATCATCTACCATGGCCACACACTCACCTCCAAGATCAAGTTCCTGGATGTGCTGCACACCATCAAGGAACATGCATTCGTCACCTCCGAGTAAGTCCCAGCCCCCCAGCAACACCCCAATTCACGGGCAAGCAAACCCTGCCCAAATTTCCCTCTCCTTTGCCTTCATCCCAAGCCACAGTTCCCACCTGCTTCCTCCAGGTTCCCCATCATCCTCTCCATCGAAGATCACTGCAGCATCGTGCAGCAGAGGAACATGGCCTCCCACTTCAAGAAGGTCTTCGGGGACATGCTGCTCACCAAGCCAGTGGACATCAATGCTGATGAGCTGCCCTCACCCACCCAGCTCAAGAAGAAGATCCTAATCAAGGTGTGAGATGGGCATCACTTCAAAGCCCCTCTTTGGAGGAGGGACAAGGACCATGTTAGGCTGAGAAGGATGGTGATTGTCCCAAATCTTGGGACTCAAGAGCAGTATCTCTCCATGCACGCGTAGTAGGAGAGATGTCCTACTGCAAGAGATTGTCAAGGGGAACAAGGGGTGGTGGAGGGGGACCTGTAGGAGCCTAAGCATGGTCTCAGGGCTGGGAGCTCAGTGTGATGGGGACACCATGCCCACCACTGAGCTCCCCTGCCTGGGCTGTCCCTAGCACAAGAAACTGGTCGAAGGGAACCTGTACGAGGAGGTCTCCACCGCCAGTTACTCAGAGAACGACATCAGCAACTCCATCAAGAATGGCATCCTCTACCTTGAAGACCCCATTGACCACGTAAGGGTCTCCTTGCTGATGGCAGCCAGGGGCTGAGCTGGGTCTGGCAGATGGGAGTGAACATTGGGGTTTGGGGCTTGGGCTCTCCTAGATCATTGCAATGCCATGGGGTGATGGGACTGGGACAGAAACAGATCTCAAAGCTCTGTCCCTCCCATGCCACCATCCTCCCCACCCTGGTGATGGTTTTCCTCCCTCCCAGACCTGGAGCCCCCATTATTTTGTCCTGACAAGCAACAAGATCTACTACTCAGAGGAGACATCCCGCTACCAGTTCAACGAGGATGAGGAGGAGGTGGAGCAGAAGGAGGTGTGTTGAGGGGCAGGACGCGTCCATGGGGCAGGGGAATTCAGGGAGGGCTCCGTGGGAGGGCGAGAGGGTGGCAACATCTATTTTGGGGGTGAACTTGCAGGAGTTCAACAACAACGAGCTGCACTTCACGGAGAAGTGGTTCCATGGGAAGCTGGGAGGTGGCCGTGATGGGCGGCAGATCGCCGAGAAGCTGCTGCACGAGTACTGCACCGAGACAGGCGGCAAGGATGGCACCTTCCTCGTGCGTGAGAGCGAGACCTTCGTGGGCGACTACACCCTCTCCTTCTGGTAGGAGCCCCAGCAGGGGGGCAGGATCCCACCCTCCCCAAATTGGGGGGTTGACCCTCCAGCCGATCCCTGGTTTGGTGGCTGGAATCGCATTTTGGGAGGGAAACACCACCTATTTGCACAGCACGTGGACCCTCAAGCTTAGGATGGTGGGGACGTGGCTTGAATTGACTCGCCCCTACCTTCCTCCCATCACCTTGGCAGGAGGTCCAGCCGGGTTCAGCACTGCCGGATCCACTCGCGGCAGGAGGCCGGGGCCACCAAGTTCTACCTGACGGACAACCTGGTCTTCGACAGCCTCTACAGCCTCATCTGCCACTACCGCGAGGTGCCGCTCCGCTGCAACGAGTTCGAGATGCGCCTCACTGACCCCGTCCCCCAACCCAACGCCCATGAGAGCAAAGAGTGAGGATGATCCCTGTCCCCATCCCCTTGGTCTCCTGAGTCCGCCAGCCTCTTCCATCCCCAGTGCAAGGTCTTGGGTGCCTCCTGGGATCTGAGGATGCTGGTGCCATCCCACCACCTCCACTCTCTCCCTGTCCAGGTGGTACCACGCCAGCTTGACACGGCTGCAGGCCGAGCATATGCTGATGCGGGTCCCACGGGATGGAGCCTTCCTGGTGCGCAAGCGCAGTGAACCCAACTCCTACGCCATCTCCTTCCGGTGAGTGTGGCCACCCCGGCGCCTTGACCCCAGTCAGGCTTGGCCTCAGTGCCCACATTGCCATCTGAGGTGACAACTGCATGGCTCAGGTCTGTTGTGGCTCAATGCTGGCTTTGCCCTGGGTCAGCAGGGTGACACAGTGGGACACAAGATGCCATCATGGGGAGGTTGTGGTGATGGGAAAGCCACATCCTCAGGGCTGTCACCCCAGTGGCCTCCTGCCCATCCCCATCATGGAGCCAGGGTCTGCCCACCTCTCACATATCCCCCCCGTCTCTCTTGGCCCCAGGGCAGAGGGGAAGATCAAGCACTGCCGCATCCAGCAGGAGGGTCGGCTCTTCATGCTGGGCAGCTCGGCTGAGTTTGAGAGCCTCGTGGACCTCGTCAGCTACTACGAGAAACACCCTTTGTACCGCAAGATGAAGTTGCGCTACCCCATCAACGAGGAGACCCTGGAGAAGATGGGTACCACCGTGAGTGCTCCTGGCAGTGAGGATGATGGGGATGGGGGCAACCAAACCATAGACCCTAGCTCCGCTATGGTGGGAAGGGCTCCTTGGTTGATGTCCAACCAGAACCAGCCAAGCTCATTCCACAGCCATTGCCCACAGTTATAACTCCAACGTAATTCACTTCCAATGAGTTGCAAAGGGATATTAGGTCCCTCTCAACCTCCTCTGGATCACACACGGTGGCTGGATTCCCATCACATCCTCTTGTAGCCCCTTCCCGCATCCATGTGACTCACTCAAGTGTCTCTCCTTGCAGGAGCTGGACTATGGAGCCCTGTATGAAGTGCGGACGCCCCACTTCTATGTAGAGGCCAACAAGATGCCGATGGCCAGGGTAAGGGGCCAATCTGGTGTCCTTGGGAGGTAGAGGGTGTTGGGACATGGTGATTCTAGTGCTGGGGCTCCTGGGCATTATACCCCAGATCCACCAACTTGAGAAGTGATGAAGTTTTGCTGCATTTTTCTGACTTTTGAGTGATGCTGGAGCTTGTGGGACCTTTCCCACCTCCCCATTAATTGGAGACAGACTGAGCTCCAGTGACAGCATTGTAATGGCATGGTGGGCAGGGTCTGGAGAGAGCTCAGTCTGAACTAAGGACCTGGCACAAACTTGCCCCAGCAGTCAGGAAACCCGCATGGATCCATTTGCATTGGGGAACCCCAAAAGAGCAGGTTTAAAGTCAGTTTTCAAGTGGTGCAGTCTTCATCCTTGGAGGTTTTTGGGACTGAGTTGGTCTTGAAGCTGACCCAGTCTCCATCCTAGAAGGTTTTTGGTATAGGGCTGGTCCTGGAGCTGATCCAGCTGATCTCAGAGCTGGCCTGGTCTCCACCCTTAGAGGTTTTTGGGACTGGGCTGGTCTCAGAGTTAACCCAATCTCCATCCTCTGAGGTTTTTGGGACTTGGCTCGTCTTGGAGCTGATCCTGGAGGAGACTAAAACTGAAGCCCCAAGGTTTCTTCTCTGTGTTCCTACAATCTCATGGTCCAGCACTGCTGTCCTTTTAATGTTCCCTTTGCAGCAGAGCAGCTCTCAGGCTAAGACCGGACACAAGAAACCTCAATCCAAACATTTTTTTTTCCAGTAATTTTGGGAATATCAAGGGATTGACTCCTTCAGTGAACCAGGAGAAACCACTGGGGGACCCAGAAGAGGAACCTGCTTTGCACTGAATGTGGTGGTCCTACAGGACCATGGGCACCTCCAGCCTTCCTGTCCCCTCTAACTTGTCTCACTGCTGGCCTAGACAATTTTGGGGCATCATCTGGATGCCATAGGGTCTCGAGGGGCTGGGCTGAGTGGGACACACTGCCCGCCACCATCTCTGGGTGCTGGGTGGTGACACTTGTCCCTCTCCCTGGTGTTCCAGTGCACGGTGAAGGCTCTCTACGACTACAAAGCACAGCGAGAGGATGAGCTGTCATTCTGCAAGCAGGCCATCATCCACAACGTTGACAAGCAGGACGGCGGCTGGTGAGGGCAGTTGGGTGGCCTCTGGGTGGGCACTGCTGCAGGTTGGGGGGTGGAGGGGACACCCCGGGTTTTCCCGCGGGTTGTCCCACAGTGGGTTTTAACGGCCTCCTTTTCTGTCCCCCCACCCCTTCTCCAACTGCTTCCCCGACACTGCATGCAGCATGAACACCCCTGTCCCCCCCCAAATCGGTCCACTTGCCTTGATCCTCTCACCCCTTGCAGGTGGCGGGGTGACTACGGGGGCAAGAAGCAGCTGTGGTTCCCAGCCAACTACGTGGAGGAGATCGTCAGCACACAGGCGCAGGAGCACGATGAGGCTGTGAGTTCCCTGTCCCCATGCACCCAGAACCAAGGCTGCCCAAGATGCTCTCAGCCTTGTGCCAGCCCAGACCCTTATCCAGAGGCTGGGGGATGCTCATGGCTGTGCTCCAACCCAGACATTTATCCAAAGGCTGGGAGATGCTCCCAGCCCTAAGACATCCCATACCCTTATCCGGAGGCTGGGAGATGCTCATGGTCATGCTCCAGCCCAGACCCTTATCCAGAGACTGGGGGATGTTCGTGGTTGTGCTTCAGCCCGTACCCTTATCTGGAGGCTGGGAGATGCTCTCAGCCCCATGACAGCCCAGACCTTTATCCAAAGGCTGGGAGATGCTCATGATTGTGCTCCAGCCCAGACCCTTAGTAGATGTCGTGCTCAGGAATATGGTCTAGTGATGGACTTAGTGGCTGGTTCAGTGGTTGGACTTGACGATCTTAAAGGTCTTTTCCAACCAAAACCATTCTATGATTCTTATCCAGAGGCTTAGGGATGCTTGACCGTGGAGCAGAGCATGCCAAGAGGGTGTTTTTTAATCTACTTTTGCTTGAACTTGGCCAATTTAGAGGGCTGGAAAGAGGCTGCCAAACAAAATGGGCATTGGGCTTGACCCTGCATGGCTGCCCCCCACCACCCCCTTTTCCTTCTTCTCTTGCAGTCGTCAGAAAACAGCCCCCTGGGGAACTTCTTGAAAGGCTTCATCGATGTGCCGTCCTGCCACGTTGGTGAGTATCCCCACCACATCCCCACTATGGCTGTGGGAGCCCAGTGGGGAAACACACACCCCGTGCTGAAGCTTGGTGCTATGAGCTGAGGCTCCCCAAACTCATCATGCAGTTGCCAGATGGGCTTATGCAATGCAGGGCTGGGTTCAGAGTGATTTGATTGATATTGGGGTGGATTCAGAGGAATTTGAGTGATTCAGGGGATCCTTACCTCTGGCTTGAAGGAAAATGGGTTTCAGCATGGAAAACTGAAACCTTTAATTAGAAAAATGGGACCCTCGCAAGAGGAGGACCCCAGTGGCTGGTTGGGTGCTGGGGGGTTGGGTCTGGTGGGGGCCCGGGAGCGGGACCGCTGAGGTTTCGTTTGCTCCACAGAGCCATCCGTTGGGAATGTCTTCAAGTAAAGCCCCCCTCTGATGTCCTTGTAGTTATCTCCAAAGACGGGAGGAGCTCCAAACCATTTGTCTTCACCATCCATTCCCAGCAGATGTCCCACGCAGCCCAGTCTCTGGACGTGGCCGCGGACACGCAGGAGGAACTCAGCGAGTGGGTGGCCAAGATCCGAGAGGCCACGCAGAACGCCGACGCCAGGGTGAGGGGCACCGAGGGTGCAGAGGATGGGGGTGGATGGTCCTGTCCCCCAGTGGATGGTCCCCTACATCTCCAAAGGAGGAGGCTGGGAGAAGACTTTCAGCTCCTGTTTCTCTTTGTGCAGATGCAAGAGGGGAAGATCATGGAGCGGAGGAAGAAGATTGCACTGGAGCTCTCCGAGCTGGTTGTGTATTGCCGCCCGGTGCCGTTCGATGAGGACAGTAAGAGCTGGAGAAGGGGGTGATTGGGAAGAGATGGGTGGGGTGAACCAAGCAGTCATGGTGGGCCAACCCCTGGGCCATCAGAGAGCCTATGTCCTCTGCTAATGGCGATCTTGATGCTTTCAGAGATTGGCACAGACAAGGCGTGCTACCGGGACATGTCCTCCTTCCCGGAGACCAAGGCGGAGAAGTACGCCAACCGCAGCAAGGGCAAGAAGTTCCTGCAGTACAACCGGCGCCAGCTGAGCCGCATCTACCCCAAAGGGCAGCGCCTGGACTCCTCCAACTACGACCCATTGCCCATGTGGATCTGTGGCAGCCAGCTCGTGGCCCTCAACTTCCAGACGCCCGGTAAATCCTGCTCCTGTAGTAGCTGCTGGGATCGTCCCAATGGGTCACCCCAAAATTCCCATCCCTGGTGGCTCTGTCCTGATTGAATGATCTCTCCAACCTTGTCCTCATGCTAATGGGGACATCTCCCTGCAATTCTTGGGTGCTTCATGCAAATCCAGCTGCGTCCCTTCTCCAGCTGGGATTGAGGACTCTTAGCAGGGGGTGTGCTAGGGCAGGACCTTCTGCCCAAGGACCTTGGGGAGGTCTCTGAGCCCCATGACTCAGAGCTGCTCTATCCCCCCTGCTCCAGACAAGCCGATGCAGCTGAACCAGGCGCTCTTCATGCTCAGTGGCCGCAGCGGCTACGTCCTGCAGCCCGACATCATGAGGGACGAGACGTTTGACCCCTTCGACAAGAACAGCCTGAAGATTGTGGAGCCCATCACGGTCCAGCTGCAGGCAAGTGGGCGAGGACAGCAAGTCCATGCTGAGGTGGTCACCATCAAGACGGGGGCTTGCTTCTTCCTTGCTTTTGGGCCAAGTGGATGTGGTTTTTACAAATTTCAGCCCCATATTTGCTCCATGGAGATCATTACCCCTTGATCTCTTTGGTTTGTTGGTCTTTCTCCAATTTTGGCATCATTTTTCCCAGGGGGGAACCCCAAAATTGCACAAAGCTGAGCCCAACCTCAGTAAGAGCAGGATGGAGGGCAAAGGAGCTAAAACAACTCCAGAAGCACCTTACCTACCCCTTGGGTAATTTCAGTGTTAGAGCTGGGATGTGTTGGGATGGGTTGGTTTGTAGGCACCTGGCTCTTCAGCATGGCATGAATCCAGCAAAGTTTTTTTTAAATAAATTGGCAGCTAAAATCAAGCTAAAACTGGTCCAAGGACATAAATAAAGTGTGGTGTGGCTAATTACGGCCATGAAGATTTTGGCAAGCCCAAAACACCCAAAATTTTTTATGATGAAGGTGATGAAATGCTGGGACAAGTTGCCCAGAGAGGTGGTAGATGTCCCATCCCTGGAAACATTCGAGGTCAGGCTGGACTGGGCTCTGAGCAACCTGATCTGCTGGAAGATGTCCCTGCTCATTGCAGTGGGGTTGGACTGGATGACCTTCAAAGGTCCCTTCCAACCCAAACCTTTCTATGACTATAAAATGACCGAGCCATGAGGTTACCCTGGAAAGTCCTTCCGCATCTGTTGTAGCCAAACCTCACCATCCTCTTCCTCCTGCAGATCCTCGGTGCCCGGCACCTACCCAAGAATGGGAGGAGCATCGTGTGCCCCTTCGTGGAGGTGGAGGTGTGCGGCTCTGAGTACGACAACAGCAAGAACAAGACGGACGTCGTAGGTGAGGGTCCACGTGGGTGATGTTCCCATCCAGCCCCTGCACCCTGGGGAGAGGCAGAGACACCAGGACAACCCTAACTGTACCCTTCGGGGTCCTCTTGGACATGTGGATGGTGGGGCTGGGTTTTGTGGAGAAGAGGACAGGCATCTCCCACTTACACACTGGTGCCATACCGGTGATGTCCATGTGTCTGGTTCCACTCTGACTGTCCCAATTCTCTCCTCATCCCCCAGCTGACAACGGCTTCAACCCCGTCTGGCTCTTCAAGCAGTTCGTCTTTGACATCAACAACCCCGAGTTTGCCTTCCTCCGCTTTGTGGTGTACGAGGAGGACATGTTCAGTGACCCCAACTTCTTGGCACAAGCTACCTTCCCCGTCAAAGGTCTCAAAACAGGTACGGTCCCTCCTTATACCCGTCCTAAGCACCTGTATACACATATCCTACCATGGCCCATTCTTCTTAACTTTGTAGAGGTCAAAGTGTTCTTTTAGCTCTACTGCTAAAACAAATGCCTACTTTAAGCAGCTAGAACTTTCTTGTGCCTATAACACATCCACACCATCATCATCATCAAATCATAGAATCATCACAGAATCACAGAGTATGAGGAGTTGGAAGGGACTTCAAAAGCTCATCCAGTCCAACCCCTGCCAGAGCAGGATCACCCAGACCAGGTCACACAGGAACACGTCCAGGCGGGTTTTGAATGTCTGCAGAGAAGGAGACTCCACAACCTCTCTGGGCAGCCTGGGCCATGCTCTGGCACCCTCACACTAAAGAAGTTTTTCCTCATGTTCAGGTTGAACCTCCTATGCTCCAGCTTGCTCCCACTGCCCCTTGTCCTGTCCTTGGACATCCCAGAGCAGAGCCTGGCTCCTTCCTCCTGACACTCACCCTTTCCAAATTGATCCCCATAAATGAGGGCACCCCTCAGTCTCCTTTGCTCCAGGCTCAAGAGCCCCAGCTGCCTCAGCCGCTCCTCATAAGGGAGATGCTCCACTCCCTCCATCATCTCTGTGGCTCTGCTGGACTCTTTCAAGCAGTTCCTGTCCTTCTTGACCTGAGGGGCCCGAACTGAGCACAATAATGCAGATGTGGTGTGAGCAGGGCAGAGTAGACAGGAAGGAGAACCTCTGCCCTACATCCACCCCTTCTCATGCACCCCAGGATGGCGTTGGCCTTCTTGGCCGCAAGGGCACATTGCTGGCTCATGGTCATCCTGCTGTCCACCAACACCTCCAGGTCCTTTTCTGCCTGGCAGCTCCAGCCACTCGTCCCCATCATAAAATGGTTTGGGTTGGAAGGGACCTTTAAGGGCCATCTAGTCCAACCCCCCTGTGGTTATCACCTCCATCACCATCATCATCATCATCATCTCCTCGGGGATCTGGCCATGGTGAGGGGCTCAGACCCTGCTGTGGGGCTGAGCTCCTGTTGTGGTCTTATGTCCAGGCTACCGGTCGGTGCCATTGAAGAACAGCTACACCGAGGACCTAGAGCTCGCCGCCCTCCTCATCCACATCGAGATCATCAACGCCAAGGCAGGTGGCCTGGACTGCTCAGGGAACCACGTGCCCCAGTTTCCCCAGCTGGAGCAAGGGGAGAAAACAGCACCCTGGGGTGTCCTGTCCACCCCACCAACCTCACACCCTTGTGTTGGAGCAGGAAGAAGATGAGGAGAACCTCTACTCGTCCATCCAGCAGCTCCGGGACCGTGCCAGCGAGCTCTCCAGCCAGGTCTCCAGCTATGAGCGCACCAATGGCTGCGATTCCCGCTACCAGCAGCGCCTGGACGAGCTACGGGCGGCCCAGGAGAGGCTGATGGAGCTCACTGAAGTCCGCAACCGCAAGTGAGTGTCCATTCCCCATCCCTTCAAGAGAGTCCCTTTCGGGAGGGTCCCTAAGGCCACCACCCTGCTCCCCACCAGGTTGATGGAGAAGAAGAAGAGGGACCGGCAGATGGTCACCAAACGCAGCTGAGCTGGATGGACACGAGCCCACCAGCCCAATGGAGACCCTCCCCACCACCTCCTCTCCTGCCACAAAGGGAGGTGGGGGTGGCTGGATCTGGACACCTCCACGCTTGAGGCTGAGTGTGACAAATTTGGGGACGAAAGGGGACTTCAGGTAGCTCTTCCTGGGACATTTCTCCTTTGGGGCGAGGCAGGAGGTGAGATGCTCCAGTGTAAATTCTGGGCACCTCCAGCTTCGTCCCATGTCCCCTGGGGTTGGTGGCCACATCCCTGTCCCTGCGGGGTGGCCACCGCAGCTTCTTTGCACCCCACATCCTCCGTGTCCCACCCCTCCATGGTGGGGGGGGGGCGG